AAATTAAGGATTTAATCAAAGATAAACAATGTTAATGTAAGGACATTACCAAAATTAGTCCCAATTTTGGTATAAGTTTTAGCGAAAATACTCAAAAGGAAATCAACCAACACCAACAAAACGCAAAATCGAAAGCGAAAACGAATTTCTTCAGCTCGCAGTCTTCCTCATAACTCTTCCGATGGTTCTTGCTCATCTCATTTACTTGATATAATTGATCAGGTGCTCATTAGTAAAAAGCTTTTCGTTTGTCACACTATATTGGGTATTTTACTTGCGCAGATTAAATGTTGTGAGCCAAAGTTTCTCTTTTAGTACTATACTTTGTCCTAGTAGAAGCTATTATTTATTTTTCTAAACGATGAAGTTTTTTTTTTGTAGATTGCTAAACAAGCACATACAATTGAGGCAAGTTCTGCAAGTAGTGTATCGAGCCAACAGACAGTGACCAGTGCAGCGGATGCAGTTGCGATTCTAGACAATCGTATCGGTTGATTTATAAAAATTCATTCCAAATATTTACTAAACTCTTAATATAGTTTTATTATTTCTGTATTTATTTTTATTTAGCAACTACTTTTCAGAACCTCGTGCACGAAAAACGCTACCATCACCAGTCATACCTGAAAACCCAGTTATCAAACAATCTAGAAAAGTAATTTTAGAAGCTTGAATGTTATTTTCTTTGGTTAATTTTTGTGATTTTCTAAAGTGTATCAACGCAAAGAGTCATATTTCAGACAGTTTCTTCCCCAGATGGTGTACAAAACATACTTGCTGCTCCAGATGTTGTGCTTTCAACGACTGATATGCAGCCAGAAGTCCAGAAAAGTTAAAATTGTTGTTTATTTAATTGAGCACAAAATTTTATTTCTTGTGAGCAAATCTCGTAATTTCTTTGAAGTCCAGAAATTGTTCCTTTTATTATTATTATTTTTATTGCAAATTTAAGATTTTTTCAGTGATCGTTTACTTAAATCGAGGTTGTCGATGTTCACCCATTCTAAACGCTTCACTCGTCCGTAAATTGCCGGAGAAATTTGGGCCTGGCACTGTGCATCATATTTTAAGGGAAACAATTCAACAAATTGTAAATTGTGCTGTTGATCCTTCGTTTGTGTTTAAAAAAATCGATCCTGGAACTATAAGGATTTTATCTATTACTGGTAAGATGATGTAATGAAATTTTATACTTTTTTCCAGTCCTCCTCTGTGATTTGTACATTTTGACTATAGGTATTGTTGAAATCACTAGGCTCACATTCCTGCTGTTAACTGAATCGAAAAGACGAAGAGATGAGTAGAAGTCGGAGAAAGAAAAAACAGTGATAGGATTAGATGGAATGATTCATGAGTATTCTTTGAGTTTGGTTGACAGTTATTCCACTTCCCTAATCAGAATTGCATGGAACAACTGGGTAGTTGGAAGTCATTGTATTGTTTCATTGCTAGCTACACCTTTTTTTTTTGTTTTTCTTTTTTTTTTATCCTTGCATTAAAAATTTTAGCTGAAATCCATAACGTGACCCACGTACGCGCTATACCAACACTGAAGACTCTTGCCTCTGCATGGGATTATTTGCATACTTTTATTTCAAAATTAAACGTATGCCGCAATTTTTTGACTGAGGAGCCGATCTGCTGCTCATTATGCTCTTGTCAAAGTGATGATGTAGTTGTTAGTACCACCGCAGGTTAGTGTATTTTTGATATTTTTGTTTTCTATCAAAAGAAAATTGTGTACTGTGTAATCCGATTGTTTTTTATTTTAACTGCTAGTACGTAGTTTGAAGTTTTGTTATTATAGGTGGTGGAGTGCTGAAATACGGTACTGAAAGTGATGATTCTGAAGACTACGAAGGTTAGTTGGTTTTCATACAGCATTCGTTTAACAAATTTTGGAAGTGAAATTTTATCATCATTCTCGGTTTAAAACATCTTGACACTTATATAACTTTGAAAAATGAAGTGCGATCAGAAAAAAAAAAAAGAAAAAAGCTATAAGTTGGTTGTGCTCTAATTATAAAAAGATTGCCACCAATTTTTCTTAGGTCACCAGTACTCGGATTTAACAGAATGGTCTATGCAGCGTGTTGCAAATGAAGTTGAAAATATGTTCGATGCAAATATTGCCGAGAAATTTTTGCAAAATGTGTTTTTTTTTTCTTATGAAGAAATTAGATTTACTATCTGGAATATATTACCGATTTTTTTATTCGCTAAAATCTGTTTAAAAATGAATTCATTTGTTATACGACAGAATTTCAATTATTATACAAATAAGCTCAGTACGTCGTTGCTTATCTTTTATACGGTATGTATGTTTATTAAGGATGATATAATGACATGGCTTCGAAGTTGAATGAGTGGTGTAATTAATTTTTTTTTCAGCAAATTGATGGCAAAGCTTTAATCCTGCTAACAACTGAGCTGCTAATACGTCATCTGGAAATGCCATTTGGTCCGGCTTTGAAAATGGTATCATATATTGAATCACTAAAGCGTAAAGCATGCCGAACAACTAATCACAGTACAAAATAAGTATTATCTTTTTCCATTGTCATTTTTGGTCTATATTGGAGGATTCTGTTCCATTTTGTTGTACGAAAGATACCTCATATCTGGTTTTACAATAGATACCTCATGTTCGGAGGTTAATTAAACGATTTGGTTATGGATTAATTTTGGCAAGCCGTCAGGAAGCTGGAGTAACCATGTTTCTAGAACAGATTTTTTTCTAGAAATGGTTACATGTTTCTAGAACATGGTTACTCCGCTGTTTCTAGAACAATTAATTTTTAAAATTGTTGTTTTCCTCTTATGACTTTTATACATTCAAGAGTTGACATGGTCGATGTAGAGCTGCATCTGTTTTATTCTCTCGAATGGTTTGACCTCATATCTATTTTTGTTTTTCTAAATTAGGTAACTGAAGGTTTTCTGTGGCTTTGTGTTTTGGAAATTAAAATGCAAAGTCAGATCGCTAACTATTTCCTTATCTACAGTTTTCTCAATTTTCTGAGAAGTTGAAATTTGAAAGGCATTTATTCTTCTGTGCTTTCACATCTGTCTTTAATTCTGATTCATGATCATCAGTAATGAAGAATTGATATACTTGTGCAATAGTCAACTCGTAACTTTTCACTTCTTGAAGAGATCCGCTTATTTAGAACAATGAATGTATAGTGCACACAGCTCTCAAGAGAAATCAGTATTCTACGTACTTAAACTGTTATATTTCAACTTTTGCTGCTCATCTAATCTGTTATAATTTGGTTTGTTTGTAGAAATTTGAGCAGCACATGAACCAATAAATCCATCTTTGTAAGGTTCTGGAGATAACATTCTTTTTATTTGAAGTTTTCATCTTTTGTGTTCCGTTTTCTCATAACCATGAAGTATTAATTTATTCTTTTAAATGTTATGTTTTTTTTTTTTTTTCTTTAATTTTGTGGATCGAGTGTTAGAAATTTGATATATATTGATATATGTATTACAATTTCAGGTTTATTCTCCAAGGTTTCATCCTATCACTTCTATTTTTCCTTCTTATATGACGCTCAGATCCTTTTATGTATTATTTCATTGTCTCTGAACAGTACTCATTCATTTGTTGCCGGGTTTATTTCACACTAGCATTCACTCTTTCTTTCACTTGGCTTAATCATCAGGTTTGATGGCTTTTATGATAGGAACAACCTGAGTGGTTTCATTCTTGTTGTCCTTATTGCAGAATCAGTATAAATTGTTTGTTAATACTTTTATTATATGTTGATGTTCAATGAAATTAAATTTTAACAAATGTTGTCCAATATTAAGCCGTATTATTTGTCTTTTGCTTCCAAGAAATAGCAGAGTAATTTCTAGAGAAATATTTAAATTCCATATCTGACATAATAATATATATATATATGGTTTTCAAATTTACTAAATATCTCGATCATCGTAAAATAATGGTAAGATAATATCTAAGCATAATGGAAACACAATGGAATGTCAACTGTTATGACACAGAACCAACCGCACATGTGTGTTTGACGTATTAGATCACTTTTTTTTTACGATAGACTCGGTCTTCACCAACTATTGAAAATCACTACAAATTAAGAATGAGCACAAAATAAACAGTTCAACATTAATTGCATCTAATATGTTAACTATTAACGTCAGTCTAATTTTCATTTATGTAAGCAAAATTTCTCGAATTGTGAGTGTGATCATTTGTCATTGATGTCCTTCCCTACACTATCAATTGTGATTTGATTCTCATTCATTAAAAATTTCTCATTTGAAACTCCAATGTTACAAAGTTTTATATGATAACTACATAATCATCTTGGACCTAATTTTTTTCTTTTTTTTCTAAGATCAGTAGTTTTATCAGTCATTGTGATCTAACTTACTCAATGTATGCCGCATTTTATGTATATTTGTTTTGGTTGTAAAGTTATGTGATTTTCAGAAGTATAACAAGTTATCAGAGATAGTGTGTTGTTTTAAAAAAAAAATAATTGCACTTTTGGTGGTTGTAGAAGTTATCGATTTTTCATATTTTTGAGATGAAACAAATTTTAAAATGCAATTTCTATCGCTTGATTTAGGGAGGGGTAGCTTTTTTCAAAATTGCATATGGTCTTTTGCTGAAAGTTAACTTTTTCTGCTTTTGAGTGGAAATTATTGTTGTGTCTTCCGTTCAATTTAATAATTTCCAAAATTCAATTTAATAATTTCCAAAATAGAAAAATGAATGATAAGAAAATGCAAATAATATCAAAGTATCTTTTCATGATTTTACCGTAATTTACGTGATGAAAAAGTGCTATGATGGATGGGTTCATCTACTATTACTGATTCAGTTTCAGATTTTAAAACTAACAAATCAAAATAAATTATTGAACTAAATTTTATGCAAATTTGTGTGCATTTGAAAATGCATAATAAAATGGAATGTATTTTATAAATTTAAAGAAATTTTGAAGACATATGCATTGGTTGTTAATATGATAGCACTTCGTGAGAAGCGGTACTGCAATCATTTAATGTTCTAATTTTTAAATCGTATCTGTATCTCATTAATTTTTTTTTTCATTTTTATTTTTATTCGTTGCGTTAGAGTTTTTTTTAATTAGGAGAGAATTAAGATTTAATGATCAGCACTCTTATTTATGTCATTTTTAATCAAATTTTATTTTATTTCGATTAGCTTTAAAAGTAAGAGAGTATGCGATTATGTTTCGCTCTGTTTTCTTTTTAAATTTATAGAATGTTAAGTTTACTCTTTTTTCTATTGCTTTCCAAAATTTGAGTAAAGTAGTTCAAAAAGAAAGCTGAAAAGGTCAAATTAGAATTGTTAATACAACAATTCTCAAATTTTCAGTAAAATTATTCTCCGAATTCGATTTACAATTATGATTTTTTCATTCATTTATTTTAAAAACTTTCCTTATGCATATTATTATCATAAAAAAAAAAAAAAATTTTCAGTGATATTCGAGATTATGATCCAAGCATAATTAGAGTCGAATTTAAAAAAACGTTACATCCGGTTAGTGATGGAATTTGAAGTAGTAAGTGAGAAAAAAAAAACATTTTTATAGAGAGTGTAAAATTTCAAAAATAAATAGCTTCATGATGAATTGAATTGAATTGAAATTTATTTTAGGAAAAGTCTCAAAAGCGATCAAAGCAGCTAGAACTCTGGAAAATGATAACAGTGGCATCGTATTATGAGAAACTTATGAATTCCACGCGATCACGTAACGTCCGACAAGCAGTTGTCTGTATAAGAGAGCTCGATGCTGCAGCAGATCGAATTAATTCCACTATAGAAACTGTAATTAATTCTTGATTGATTGAAAATTTAAAATGTTTATAAAAAAAAAATTTAAAATGTTAAACATATTGTGTAAATTTGATGGTATATTTAAATTGCTTTGTTGCTATAGAAATTTGATCTTCATAACTTTGATAATTTGATACCCATAGTGATATGCTGATTATACCTATACCCGAATATTATTTTGATTTCTTTCTTACTTACAAATAGTTATGAGATCTTAATAATAATATTTGTATTACTATTCTTTACTAAATAAATAAATTCAAATTTAATCTACTTATTTGAAGTTTTGATTGCTTTTTTTTTTGATGATACGTAACCTAAATCTGGACTTGAATATGTTTGTTATTCTCCTCTCTTTGTATATTGCATGATAATTGGAATTAAATAATGCTAATTAATTTTATTGATTTATTCATTAGTAAACATGAAATTTAACAGGTAGTTCAATGAAAGAAAAATGAAATCTTAATTCTTTAGTTTGATCAGATTACTAATGAAGTTAATAATGAAATCGGTTGCTGTACGGAAAATTTCACGAAGTCTTGGATTACTGAGACCGATACTCTTGAAAACAGTGGGTAATTTTTCTTGAAAACAATGGGTAACTTCAATTTTCTTATTTGGCATAAAAAAATATACAGCATTACTTATACTGAGATGAATGACTGTATATTGAGTGATGACTAAAGAATGTGAAATTTTTGAAATTTTACTAAAAAAAAATTTTATCAGTAACCTTTTATAAAATATTGATAATATCCGAGAGAGTGTTAAAAGAATTGATACTTTCAGATCTTTATCAGCTATCAGTTCAATTGCAGAAGCAGCAAAAAGCAATTAATAATGTTGCGAGTCATTTTTCAGAAAGTATAAAAATGATAAGTGGTATAAATGATAATCGTAAAGAGCATAAAAGTTTACTCGAGAAGGTTTATCATTTAAGCTAATTTATTTCTTACTCATATATAATTATTTATTGTTATCTTTGCAATTGTGTTAATTGAAAAAATCTTTTTTAAAATTTTTGAGAACTTTATGATCAAATAGTTTTATCTGGCATCATTAAATAATAATATGAAATAGGTGTAAATATATCATTAAAAGATTAACAAAGTCATAAAATGAATTCACTTATTGATTAAATCATTTATTGGCCAAATAAATCTGTCATTCCTATAAATTTCAAAGCTTTCAAAAATCCAACGAAATATCGTTTTTAGGAGCTTTAGGCTTTAGTAACAGGAAAACTTCCATTCTAAATTTCAAGTAAATAAGCAGTAGACTTGATAGATGCTAATAGGATGTGAAGTATAAAATATGAATGCAAAATAAAAAAAAAAAAAAACCAAACAAATATTTCATTGAAATGCTTGGCTTGTCGACATTCATATTTTTATTTTTTGTTTTTTCTGCACTCATATTTTTGTAACAAAAATTCTTCGATGCTATGCTACATTATGTATTTGAAAGTAGTATGATTTATTATAAATCAGTTTATCTCAAATTGAAAGCTTCCAATTAATTTTTAAATTGATCCAATTAATTTAAATTAAATTGATCTCAAATTGAAAGCTTCCAATTAATTTTTAAATTGATTTTTGACCCTATATTTAAAATTACTGTATCCTACTATATCCAAAATTACTGTATCCGTAATTACTGGGTAATTAGTTATATCTAAAATATCTGCTATTTCAAGTTAGATTTAATTGACAGCATTGATTGACCAGTCTTTAACATAAGACTATTTAAAATCTTGCTTTTACTGACGAAGTTGACGTATAACTTGAAATGTTTTGAAACGATGAAATTAAAATTACCAATATTTGCTCAAACTCAGATTGTTAAAGTAATTCTCGTTAATGTACATCGTATTAAATTTCAAATTAACATTGAACATTGAAATTAACTTTAAGCCATTAAAGCAAGACCATAATTTTTCCTCAATTTTAGTGTCGTATCATCGATATTAACATATTAACGTTAGCTAAACTTGCCCGTTTACAAAACCGTAAAATGATAGCTCCGGTAAAGGAACGTTGGTCAGTGGAAGATTTGAAAACACTTCCTCTTGTTGGTTAATTCTATCGCAAATTTCATTCTTTCAGGATTACTTGCTACATATTAAATCGAAAATTATTTAATTTAATGTATGATACCATCAATATACTATTTTATACATAATAAATTGACAAAAATTTAGATTTTAAATCTGTTTGAAAGAAATATGAGCATCAATATTTGTGTATTCAAATTCTCATCTTCAGGCAATTAATGAGTTGAATAAAGTTGTAACAAATTTGAATGATTTACGAAAGATATGCAAAATAATCGCACCGACAAGTTTAACCGATGAAAAGGATATTGCAAATTTGATTCATCAAGCTCAAAAACTTCGTCGAATTTTAGAGGTTTACTCAGCTTACATTTTCTATTTTACTAGTTTAAATAATATATGCTCATTTTTAAAAAAAAATTCATTCAAAAAAATTTGTTATGTAGCAAATCATAAAATTAATAATTGAAATAAAAATTTTTACAGATTGATAAAACGATAATAAAATCATCCATATGAAATATTAGCTAAATAATATTGGAATGATTGGAACTATATTGATCACATAACTATCGATGATCCGAAAATGGATATTTTTAAATCTTTTGTCTCTAATCTTTCACTTATTTAATAAGCAATGAATAAAATTTTGATTATTCGTTTTGCTCTATTGAATTTCAAATCAGTTTTGGTGCATCATCATCATCTAACACTAAAAAATACATTTTCGTAAACTGTGGAATGTTTTTTTTTTTTTTTTACTTCAAAAATATAACTTAGAAATAATTGTTTTTTTTTCTTTCTTTCTCTTTCTCTCTCTCTCTCTCTCTCTCTCTTGTTAATTTATATTGTTGAAATAGCTATAGCTATCGTTGAACTACACGATGACTAATTTTATCAACATGAAATTGACATAAAAAACAAATACAGGTTGTATTTTATTTATACATTTTAGTCTTACTGTAGATCTATTCTGCTACTCTTTACTTAGGACAAATTAAAATTTAACAAATATCTGCGTAATTATCTTATTATATAATTTATTCTCGAAATTTTTGCATTCCCTTTTATGTTTTAGCAATAATGATGATATCCATAAAAGTGATCTATTCTCTCTCTCTCTCTTCTCTCTCTCTTTTAACTTTCTATTTTCCTTTTCAATTTTTTCTTGCTAGAAATATTTCCAAAAAATAAAAAAAAAAAATGAAATATAAAAATGAAGTAAACCTTTCAAGAAAAATGCGATCAATTTAATCTTATAGTGAGAATAAACATTAAACTTATTTTTTTCTCATTTGCAAATGTTATGCTTATTTGTTGTTTATACATTGTGATGCACAAACAATAATAGTCTATACAGAATTTTATCTTCCGTTTTTTCTATTTTCAATTTTATCATCCGTTTTTTTCTTTTCTTTTTCTTTTTCTGATCTCGACTTTATCATCCGTTTTTCTGTTTTTCTAGCTTATCATAATTCTAACAACCAATTTCTATTCTATCCATCAACATTAGCTTTTCATTTATTAATTAATATTATTATCGATAGCACTAACTGAAATGACATTCATTGCTATTTCGATAAATCATCATCTTATCGGTAATATTTTTTTTTTTTCTCCTTATTACTAATCGTTTACATTGCCGTATCCTTTTGTTAAAAGTTTCAAGCTTTTCCATCTTCCATCTTCCTTCTTCCTTCTTCTTCATTTTTCGTTTTCTTTTTTGCTCTCTCTCTGTTACAATATAATACAAATTAGCATATCCGGATCCGTTATTCTGCCGTACCATAACATCATACCATACAATCATAAAATGTTAGCTAGACTTTTTGGCGTCTATTATTGAAATGACACAATTAGGATGACCATTGTTATACCATTAATATAATAAGTATTTGCTATTATTCTTAATGTATCTTACCTTAAAAAGATGCTTTTACTTTTTTTTTTCTCTCTCTCTCTCTCTCTTTTTCTTCCTTTTTTTTTTCTACACTAATTGCTATTAGCAATTGTAATTGTTGCAGCATTTTATGATACTTATTATTGTTCCCATATCATTTTTGCATTATTTTTATTGCATTACGATACATTCCAATCTTACACAAAAGAGCACTTTTAGTTTACAGTAACATTTCTAGAAATATTACTTTTAACATTATTTAATCCATTTTTTTTTTTTTTGATTTGCAATGAAACAATTTAACAAAAATTTGTTATCATTTAACTATCTTTTATTTTAATCAGATTTATATGAAAAAAATATATTTATATATTCTTTCATTATTTTTTCTCGATATGATTACTTTCTTCAAAATATTGAGCTATTTACAAACAATTGTAAGCATATAAAGGTTTGGAAATTTTGCCACAGAATTAATCCGGATGAAATATATTCAGGAATGATGATCAAATGAGAGGTAAAAGAAGAACGAAGGAAAGAGAGAGAGAGAGAGAGGATAAAAAGTCGGATATGATCATTATCATTAATGAAATAAACATCATACTGTTGTTTATTGTCCCATATCGGAGGGAGAGAAAAAAAAAAAAAAAAAGAAGTGTAATTTTTGGTGCTAATAGGTCATTTCATTATTTGATGATGAGCTTTCCGTTGCAGCCGTAATTTTTCCTTTTTCCTTCCTTCCTTCCTTCCTTCCTTCTTTCCTTCCTTTTTTTTTTCCTGAATTCCTTAAAGCTAATCATATAAATTGAGCATTCTTTTTCGCATTTCTCTTTTTCTCATCAATTCAAGTTAAAATAATCAACAGCGGTAAGCAGTAGCGGTTAGCGGCAATTAGCAACGGCAATAGCGGGCGGTAATGGCACATCTGGTCAGGAAAAAATTTTTCACCATATTTTTCTTGTCTTATCTTCTCATTTCTTTCATATTATATAACTTAGTAGAATAATGTAATGAGAAGAAATGAGAATTTATGGAATAATTTTTAACTCTCTGATGAGAGTTAAAAATTTCTTTCATATTATATAACTTTCAATCATAAATTGCACCTCATAAAAATTTTGTATTATTTATTATTATTGTTGAAAAGGGGATCATTCATCATTAGCTATTATTATTATCATTATTATTCCCTATGGTTTTAACTATCATTTTAGCATCTCATTTTTTGCTTACAAAATGCGCATTTCCTCTTTAGAAAAAAAAAAATTTTTTTTTTTTGTAGATTATAACTATCACAATTCTAATAATTGTTGATAATTCTATTACAAAATATTTTTATATTCCAATATATGTAAAAACAAAAGCACTGTTACTTCCTTTTATTAATGCAATCAATTTATCAATGAATTAATTAATACTTTAAAAATTTTAATTTTCTCAATTGTGAACCTATAAACTTGAATAGCAGATAAATTAATTGCTGATAAGAGAGATCAAAAAAGAAAAATAAATAAACAATAGATAATCGGCTATGATCAACTAGTTATTAAATTATCAAAAATTATCATTCTTGATAAATTTTAATCAGATTATGCAACATTCGAAATATAAAAAAAAAAAATGAAAGTTTAAAGATGATTAAGTAAAAGTTCCAATGTATAAATTTTCAAATTATGCGATGAAAGCAGATACAAAAATCATTTCCACATCTGATAATCATTTCCTTTTATATTTATAGTAAGTATTAAACAATTTCCAAAAATAGCCAATTTTTACTGATTATGAAAAAATAAGAAAAAATTTTAACTTTTAAAAAATTTAAATACTTTTTGTATATTATTGAAAATATTAAGTTAAAAGTTTTTTTTTGCTTTTTTCTTTTCTTTACACAATAATATTTTGATAATATTTGGATGGATAAAATTGTTAAATATTTTCAATTCTTTCAATTGACATATTTAATACAAAAAAAAAAAAAAATTTTTTTTTCATTTGCTTTTAAAAATTATGCTTATATTATTTGAAAAAAAAAAAAGAAAATAAAGAATGGAAATGTTTTCTTTTTCTTTTTTCATCCATTTCTAATTATTCATTTTTTTTTAAAAATTCAATTCAAATGATTAGCTAATAATAAAATACAACAGCAATAGCAATAGCAACAATTCAAATTATGACAGGATGAGCTGAATTTCCGTTATTTGTGATGTGATGAAAACACGTGTGTGCTTGCAAGAAGTCTCATTACATTTTATAGTTAATGGTGTATTATGTTTATATTTCCTATCTTTATAGATCATATCATACTACTCAATTTCTCTTTACAATTCTATTTTCTTTGACATCTTCAAATAATTATTTTTTTTTTTTTTTAAAAAAAAAAAAAAAAAAAAGGAAAAATATGCAAATGTATTGTTTGCACCTGCACATGAAATTAATGGACTGTATCCAATACATATATATGGTTGAAATAGTTGATTGGACATCTTTTTTTGTAACAATAATATAGGCTCATTTTTTTTTTTTTTTTTTTTGTACTATTTTTTGGTTATCGTATTACAGTATCAATTTGAACATTATACAGTAATAGCTAAAAAATAAATAATAAATGGAAGAAGTGCTACAATTTCCTTTTTCTTTTTTTTTCTTATCTTTTTCATTTCCTGAAATATTTCTTATTTTCTTTAAATGTAAATGATTTGAATTTGAAAATTTTATTTTTTAATTGATAGATTGATAAATTTTTTATCTTGATAAGTTTTTATTTTGATAAGTTTATTGTGAATTACTCAGCAAATTAATTCGATTGATCTTGATCTTGATGCTTTCTAGAAAGTGAGAAAAATAATAAGTGTTTTATTAGTAATAATATTATATCATTTCCTGTAATATTAAATATAAAAAAAATTAGATTTAATAATATTAAAGCATAAAGTTTATAATTTGAACATAATTACTAAATAGAATTATACTGTCACTGAAGAAAAAAAAAAGTTAGTGAAAAGTATAATAATGAATAAATTAAATAGTTAAATTTAGATGTATTAAATAACTGAATACTTTTGATATTTCTAACATTGATATTCGATATTCGAACTAGATTGTTCAGTTTCCATCTAGATCAATTGATATTCGAACTAGATCGTTCAGTTTTCCATCTAGATCAATTAATATTCGAACTAGATCGTTCAGTTTTCCATCTAGATCAATTGATATTCGAACTAGATCGTTCAGTTTCCATCTAGATCAATTAATATTCGAACTAGATCGTTCAGTTTTCCATCTAGATCAATTAATATTCGAACTAGATCGTTCAGTTTCCATCTAGATCAATTGATATTCGAACTAGATCGTTCAGTTTTCCATCTAGATCAATTAATATTCGAACTAGATCGTTCAGTTTTCCATCTAGATCAATTAATATTCGAACTAGATCGTTCAGTTTCCATCTAGATCATTTAATTTTTAAATTTATTATTTTGTCTACTGATAATTAGCAAATTCTAATTAAGCTTACTTATTTGATACGATGTTTATTGTAATTTCATAGAATTAAAATTAGCTATTATTCTACAATACAAACTTTTTTGATCTAGCTACATATTAAGCAAATGAAATTCAT